GTGGTTTGGCCCCTTTCCTATAACCCATGTGGTCGGCCCGAATGCCTACAAGCTCAAGTTGCCTCATACCAGCCGCTGTCACCCGGTATTTAATGTGTCGGCACTCCGTGCCTACGAGAAGAACGCTATTCCTAATAGGAGACAGCCTACGCCTCCGCCTATCACGGACCTTGATGGTCATGCCCGCTATGTGGTGGAGAACATTCTCAGTCACCGCCGCCGGCAGAATCAGCTTCAGTACCTAGTCAAGTGGCAAGGCTACTCTGATGCCACTTGGGAGCCTGAACATTATTTGTTGGATGAATCTGGTAATGACATTGTTCCACTTCAGAAGTACAAAACCTTGGCTTCTGCCCGCTGAGTTTTGCAGTTGAACTTCTAGTTTCACCTTACACATTTGTTGAGCTTATTACACTTTATTTGCATGGAGTTTCAGTCGTCTTATTGTGTTACTTCAGTGCGAAGCCTTTTTTCGTCTCGCACGTGTTTGCGCTTATTGTACTCTATTCCACTTGAGCATTTGGGTTATAAGCTCCTTCCTCTCCATAGGAGGGGGATGATGTAACAGTTTTCCCCTGTTCTCTATAACTTTACACTCCCTCGCACCTCATGCGTCTTACGCCTGTCTATTAGCACCTTCATTGGCGCCATTGCCACATGTATACTATCACATTTTGCATATAACTGGTCGAGGCACGCTCAACCAGGCCTCTTACTTTTCAAGTTTGATTAAACCTGTTACACATTCACTCTTCCCGGATCCCTCACAGACCTCACAGTGGTAAAGCAACACACGCATCTTGGTTTGCTCATTGACTCAGACTTATCGTTTAGCAGACATGTCGACTTTATCTGTAGCAAAGTCAGTAAAGTTGTTGGCTAACTCGTGTCTCACTGCTCCCACCTACCGCTTGAATGCATTCACCTTTTTTATCATTGCTATATTCCCCCCATTTTTCTCTATTGCTCAATCGCCTGGTCATCCCTACTAAGTAAATCGTTAATGAGTACCCTGGAAGTCCACAATAAGAGGATACTGAAAGTCCTTTTCCGCAAACCATCATACTTTCCTTCTGCCGAGCTGTATGATATGTTTAACACCTTCCCTATCTCTAGTCAAGCGGATCGAAAACTGTGTATTGTTGTTCATTCTATTCGTCTTGACAAAGCCCCGCCACACTTGCGTAAATATAACTGGTTTCTTCCCACTCGTCCTACGTGGAATCCCTGCACTTTGCCTAAAGCCCGAACATCAGCTTATACCAGATCTCCGTTTTTCGCTGCCTATCCTCTCTGGCTGGCCCTGCCTCTATAAGTAAAATCGTCTTGTACGCTAAATGATTTCAAGGCCGACATGAAGCTCGTGTTGTAATAGCTGCTAATTCTTCATCGACATTTGTTTCTCTTTGTCTCCAGTAATGTGTACAAGTAATATTTATTATTTATTTTTTTTTAGAAAGGAAAAGGACATATGGATACGAGTTAAGAGTAACTCTCCATCACTGTAACTGGATTCTATATACAGTCAGAAAGTGCAATAACTAGGCACAAAACTGACAAGAGTACTGAGACATTCGACGTCCTGACACCTAGCTAGTACGTCGTGTGAAACAACTTGTTTTGTAGTCAACTAGTCCATCACAATGTCATGCATGAGGAGTACTGTAGGAGTTTGGCTTTCGGCTTGTACAATTCGTTTTCGCAAAGCTTCCCCTTTCTTTACTTGTCTTTGATATTAATTTTATGACCCACCCAAGTTGGGTGGTATGCTGCTTTGCTGCTTCGAATTGTAGTTAGACCGCTTTGTCAAATATCGCACTGGTCTCGTCATCGTCTAGTAACAATCGACATTCTTTGTTCCGTTGGGACTGTGGCTTTTGCTCGTTTTCGTTGCGCTTGCCTTCCCCTCTTTGGTCTTTTCATAACCTTGAACCTTCCAAGTTGGAAGGCTGTCGGTTAGCGCTACGGAGATGTGTTGAAGCTAGGTGTCAGGACGTCGACTGTCTCAGTACATGTACTCTTGTCAGTTTTGTGCCTAGTTATTGCACTTTCTGACTGTATAATAGTATCCAGTTACAGTGATGGAGAGTTACTCTTAACTCGTATCCATATGTCCTTTTCCTTTCTACATTTATTTATGGCTCAACATCCGAGTTTCATATTATTTTTTTTGCTTTGTTTTTGTTTACTGCCACGGCTGGCTACCACCCCCTCCATATTGGCCTATATTCTCTGGCCACGGGAAGGTGGAATAAATAATAATATTAATAATAAATAAATGTAGAAAAGAAAAGGACATATGGATACGAGTTAAGAGTAACTCTCCATCACTGTAACTGGATACTATATACAGTCAGAAAGTGCATTTGTTCCGTTGGGACTGTAGCTTTTGCTCGTTTTCGTTGCGCTTGCCTTCCCCTCTTTGGTCTTTTCATAACCTTGAACCTTCCAAGTTGGAAGGCTGTCGGTTAGCGCTACGGAGATGTGTTTAAGCTAGGTGTCAGGACGTCGAATGTCTCAGTGCTCTGTCAGTTTTGTGCCTGGTTATTGCACTTTCTGACTGTATTTAGTATCCAGTTACAGTGATGGAGAGTTACTCTTAACTCGTAATAATAATAATAATAATTATCGTCTACGTTCGGTGAAATAAATAAATATTAAATAAATCCACATACCAAACATGCATGAAACTTACCAGAAAAAGTACCGAATTCTGCCAATTTTTCTGCCGGCAGAATCCGCCGGACCTTAGCCGGCATTATCATGATTATCCGCCGGTGCCTACTCGTTAGTGCCTCACATCAAGAGTGCATAAACAACAGTACTGTTTATGGACGCTTGGTCATATGAACACGCGCATCCGATATCCCGGTGTATCAGGTAGACATGGGCGGGTAATGCTAGTTATTTGCTGCGATAATGCTAAAGGCAATGCTCATAATAATGAGGATATAATGCCACTTGTAATGCTCACACTACTCCATAATGCCAGTTTGAAAGTTGGAAAAGTCGATTTAGGAAGGCCGTCTTGGATCAAGGCCAAAGCGTAGACGAAAAAATTAAACAGCAGTGAGCATGTTGTCTGAAACAAAGTTACAATCCACTGAGAAGGTTTATTTGTAACGTCAAGTCTCCGGACGAAGCCGAACGGGTTCAGAACTTCAGATGCACGATTTTCGGAACTGGACCTAGCCAGCTTCATGCATGACACCGTTGTCGACCGGCAATTATGCTTATAATGCCAATTTTGCATGAGAAATGGTGTTATAATGCCAGCATTATGCCACCTGGAAAAAAGGGACTATAAGTCTATGATGCCAGCCTTTAAACTATAAGTCTACGATGCCAGCCATAATGCTAGCACCCGCCCATGCCTAGTATCAGGTGTATGGCATCAGGCAAGACTGCCAAGAGTCCATCACATAAATCATGCATAATCCCCCGATGGACTCTTGGGGGGGGGGGGGGAGTACTAAAAAGCCGGTTTTTACTACTCCAAAACACGGTTTTACTACTCCCCCTGTATTGCATCGTTGGCAATGTTTGGGTCAACCTTCCCACAGCTACTCCCTGAGTCCAGTGAGGCCGCGTTGAAACATATACATGTACTTGTACATGTATGTGCCATCTCCAGACCTCTTACTACTCCCTGGTGAGATCATCGGATGACAGCATAGTAATTACCAGTAGATCTACGAGTACAATCATGTACATGTGTATTGCAAGGAGGACTAACTCCGCGAAAACAGTCTTCCTGACTGAAAGCACATCTCCTGGATACAAAAATTCAGGAGTTGGAGGGAATGAAACGGGAGGGGGGGGGGGGTTGCCAATACATGTAAGTCTGAAGACAGACCTCACTGTCACCACCACTGGCACCAGGACTTGAACCAATTTGCTATACCCCTCCAGTGCATGTTTTACCACCATTCTAAGTGTATTGCTGGGCACCCTGGAACTAAGTGTATTGCTGGGCACGCTGGAACTAAGTGTATTGCTGGGCACCCTGGAACTAAGTGTATTGCTGGGCACCCTGGAACTAAGTGTATTGCTGGGCACCCTGGAACTAAGTGTATTGCTGGGCACCCTGGAACTAAGTGTATTGCTGGGCACCCTGGAACTAAGTATATTGCTGGGTACCCTGGATTTTAAAAGTGTATTGCTGGGCACCCTAGAACGAACAGGCCCGAACACCCACATCGGGAGCTGCACACAATTCTCCAAGTATCGCCGAAGTCGCAGCAACCTCTAAGTTCAAGTTTTCTCACTAAAGCCGCATGATTACAAATTTAAAATACATACTGTAAATATACAAAATTTCGGCGCTGCAAAATTTCGGCACTTCACGATTTTTGACATTTCGGCGGCGATTTATTTTCGGCGTGGGGTAGAGGGCATGGTATAGTGCGACAGATGCTGTGAAAAATTTCATGGGCGTTTTAATTAATATTTAGGCGTTTTGGGTCGGTGCCGAATATAGCCGAAATTAAATAGCTGCCGAAAATTTGTATATTTACAGTACGCAGTGACTCGACTGGGCATAGACACTGTACTTACTACTTGAAGTATGAAACATGAGAATGACATAGGCTACTAGTACTAGCAAGAGTATAATAATTATAACCCCCCATACTCTTGGTACTAGGCTGATCTCCCACTGATAGCGATTGGCACGGTGCCGGCAGGAAAATTGGCCGAAGTTGGCACCTTTTCTCAGGGTATGTTTCATGCATGTGTTGATATGTGGACAAATGGAGCAGAATTCAAGGAAGTGCCTGCCATAAGGTTTGTGTGTTTCTGCCATGGAATTTCACTGCTTTTCGAGCATTATCCGACAAAGACTACCCCCCCCCCCCCCCCCTGATCTCCCGCACATGACACTTCAACTCGAGCTTCCAGCAGCGAGACCAGACTTGAAGTTGGTAGGATCCTGGATGAACAACCTCACTCAGCCTGACGGTGCCTGTACACGTCACTACGGTACATTCGTGCAGCATTCATTCTTTCTTTGGCCCACATGTACCTGTGCTCGAAAAAGGACAACAATGAATACTCACTGCATGCAGTAGTATCGGCACTATCTTATGGCTGAAACAGGTGTATCGAACTTACTTATCGTTAAAATCAAGGTGAGTTCTTGCATAGTATCGAACAAAAGGTTCTGCGCTGGAATCATTAATATAGGCTCTAAACAAAAGGTACGTAAGGTCTGCCACCGCTCGCTTGCATGCTGTGCTGCATCTAATTGGCCTTGTGGATTCTTGCAAAAATATTAAATTAAAAAAATAGATTGGGCTCAACTAAAAAGACTTCTGTGCACAGTTTACGAGCATACGGGCACATTGCTGTTACACTTCAATGCGGAAATGCCTGCAGTACTAGTAACATTACGATGGTGACAATGAGAGCAATCGCCATGGCGGCAGCGGGATTGAGGCGTCGTGCGGACGTAGAGAGAAGTGCCCATGCATCGCCGCTGGTGTTACTCATGAACACCAAAATGCCTAGAGTAACATTGCGAGGTTGATGATGAGAGCAGTCGCCATCGCGGCAGCGGGATTAAGGTGCCCTGCGGACGCGGACAGAAGCGCCAGTGTATTACCACTGGTGTTGCACATGAACGTTGACGGCGGGTAGACGACCAGGCGGCGCGTGTGCGTGTTGACCGCGATGACCTCGGCCGTGATCGCCGGGTCGGCGGTGGCGTTGTTGCCGCGATGATGCCGCGCTGCCAGGGAGACCTCACGCTCGGTCTCCGGCGAGCAGTCGGCGCCTAGTAGCATGTCATCGTAGATGACCGAGTACGAGCTCTCACTGTTACAGCTGTCCAGACTATTGACGAGCGATGGCTCGTAACCCACCGTCAGCTGAAGGCAGTAGGTGACGTTCGTCGAGCCGAGGCCTTCGTGCCAGTTGAGAACCGCGGCGTCGCAGCTCGCGTTCTGCACAAAGATGCCGGCGTCCGTCGGAGTCGTCGGGAACGGCTTCTCGGCGAGCGACGTGGTCGCGAATATATCCGCCTTCATAGCCTGCGGGCCGTGGTTGTAGACAGTGAGCTGGTAGACACCGCGCTCGGCATCCAGGGTTTCGTGACTGCTCTGCTGCAGGTACGGAGCGGGGTGCGAGGCGTTGGGCGTGCGCTGCAGCGCGTGCAGCATCGCCGCGTCCGACACCATCAGCTGTCGCCGCGACGTTGCCTCCGCGGGCGCTCCCCCCTCGCCGGGCGGGCCGCGCTGCGCCACGTGGACGCCGTCGCGCGTGAGCAGCCAGCCATGCAGCGCGTTGCATGACGCCACGGTGACGCTGAGCGGACCGCGCCGGGCCACTCGCCGCGTCACGTCGAACGTGAACACGCGCTTGCTGTAGCCGTCGACGGCGGCGTCGCGAAGCTCCACGGCGTCCTCGAGCGTCACGCCGGCCTCCGATGTCACCGCCACCGTGGGCAGGTAGGGCACATAGCGATCCGTGTCCAGGTTGCGAGCGTCAACTTCGACGTGATACGCCGTGGCCGGTCGCAAGCGTTTCAGCATGATCTCGGTCTCCGTCGTGCAGATCTTCTCTCGTACGGGTGCCGACGACGATTTCTCGGCGAGGAATTTGTCACAGGCGTTGGTGACGACGCGGTGCTTCCACGTGGCGCTCTCCGTTGTCATCACGCAGTACTCGATCCTGTTGCGCCCGGCGTCCAGCGTCGGCGGCCAGCTGACCAGTATCTGCGTGGGCCGGATGGCCGACACGCGGATCATCGGCTCCTCGGGCAGAATCGGGTAGATCATGCTGTCGAGATGGTGCGTGGCGTACAGTCCGAACCGGCCTATGTTCTTCGTTGCTTCGTTGATGACCGTCAGGTAGTAGCGGCCTGGACATGCAAACAGAGTGATCAGCAAGTTAAGAAAACAATCGGTGGATTTTCATCATGAACAGTACCAGTTTATGACCTCAAAATAATTTCCTGGTATTCCAGGTCTTTGCCATGCTCTATCTGGACATGTACACACAGCGCAGATTTAGTCCAGAGAAAGCACATGGGAACATACAACTGCGCTCACCGTAGGAGTCCGACAGAAAAACAAAAAAACATCCGACATTAAATGGCCAAACGTAGGCTGCTCCAACTCCTAGCCTCCATTTCTGACACCAGAAATAAGTAGTTCTATTTTCAACCGTATTGTGTGGTTTAGTCGTTCTCAGCCACTGCAGTACAAGAACACTCGGATTGGAGTTATGGATTTCTCTTGAAGGAAACAAACTAGTGCTAATTAAACACACTATTAAAGCACAGGAGCCACCAGAAATTTCGATGAGGCGGAAAATTCTGGTGGCTCCTGTGCTTCGTGTGTTGGAATGGAGTTGTCCGATCATCTGGCTTCAAATCCGTAGATCTGCGTTCCATTGCCCACCAGACACCAGCCAAAGCCAAGTGGCTAGGGAGGTTTGATAAACTCCTTTGCGGCTCAGAGTCATGTATGTTGTATGCACTTACCTGGATCGACGTTCAGCTGCGTCAACGTGCCCAGAGCGACTTGCTCCGCGTTTGAGCCTAGATCTGGGCCAGAGTTACGGGCGAAAGGTGTTTCGTAGCGCAACTGGAGGCCGTGCGTCTGCCGTCGACGTCGCTGCATGTTGCTGTAGTCAAAGAGCGACTCCTGGTTCACGCTGACGTCGATCTCCAGTCGACCGGAGCACACCGCGAAGACGATACTGAAGTTTCCGCCGTCTTGGACGTCGATGAATGTCTGGTAGTGACGGCCAGCTGGAATGCTGCCCAGTACATCGATCGTTCCCGGGTGGCTGCTGCCGGTCCGCTTCGCATTCTGCGCGGAATCTGCGGCGTTTTTGACGTATTCTTGTCCTTGCTGGGGTGCATCCGCTGCCACAGGTGATTGTCCGTCAGCTTTGGATGCCTGACCTGAGTCTAGGCCCGTGCCTGCTTTACCAGCCGCGTGTGCTTTGGCCTGGGTGCCCGGTACCCTCTTCGGGGGTGCTTTGTCCGGAACCATGCCGTTTTTGCCCGAGGGTTTCTTGTTCGTGATAGGATTCCCACCCGGGGTTGGCCTCCGGTTGTATGGCTGGCGATTCTTGAACGTGCTGGGCAGCCTAACCTTGCCCGGACGGAAATTGGACGCCCCGGGAAGATTGTTCGTGGCCGTCCCGTTGCGGGCCTTCGTTGGGAAGAAGTCGAATTTGAGGAGCTCCGGGCTGACAACCGGGTTGGGCCGAAGCGCCCCCGGGCTGCCGGTGGGCCGCTGACCGGCCGTTGCCTGTCCCGACGGTGATACCATTCCCCAGGTCCATTCGTTGGGTACAAAGACGTCCGGGCTTCGTGCCATAGGCTTCAGCTTCTTCCAGGCACCGGCTTGCGCTTGCTGCTGTTGATTAGCGGCGTGACGCCACTGCTGCTGAGCTTGATGCTGGCGCCGCTGCCGGGCCAATCGCTCCGGTGTCGGCTGCTGTGCCGACGAGATGGTGGCCAGTGCCGCAACGCATAATAGACATGAATACAGGGGCAGCATGTTTGATTTCATTTTCTTCCCGACGACTTCTCTCCTCCGTTGGGAGCGCCCGTTTGCTACGAGGGGGTTGGAGTGCTGGTGGATCCACCAGGTTTTTACTGTTGTATCGCCTCACCAACGCCTCCCTATGTTGTGCTGCGTCTGGAGAGGAGGAAAGTGAGGTTGAGGCCGTTTTACTCGTCGTTGTGGGCGCTGCAGTAGACAACATGAAAATTCAGGCAAACAGCGACACGCCGCAAGGCCGATCAACACTCAGCACCGAGCTGCATACATGTACAGTGATACCTGTGTAAGACGACCGCTCAAGGGACCTTCAAAACGTGGTTTCCTTTACCAGGTGGTCTCCTCATCCAGAGCCATTTTACTGGAAATAGCAGACTGTCCAACCTTGCCACCGTTCCAAAGCAGGACAACTATATTATAAGGTACACAAAGGCAATTGACTCCCATGTAAATGTACACAAACTTGTTTTGGTCCAAAGCAGGACGGTTGGACAGCCTGAAATAGCATCCCTTGGTCCTGGTTGCAGTGGTCTTCTAGGACAGATGGTCGCCTTGACAGGTTTGTTGCAGATAAGTGCGTGCTCATCACCCCATGCCTCATGGTGGCAGTGAGGCTCAGAAGGCGTCCTTTATAATAATAATTTAGCTCAGCAGCACACTAGACGTCTGTCTCCATGTATAACGTTCACGACAAACGGAAGAGCTCTTGGACAAAGTGCCCGACCGTAACGTTATTTGTTTCTACAAGGCTACATGTACATACAGTGAAACCTGTCAAGGCGACCACTCGGATAAGGCGGCCACCTGTCCCAGAAGACCACTGGAACCAGGACCAAGGGATGCTATTTCCAGTGAACTGACCCTGGATAAGGAGACCACCTGGTAACAGGGACCACATTTTGGAGATCCCTAGAGCGGTCGTCTTAGACAGGTTTCTCTGTATACAGGTACGTATGCATGTAGTAATATTGTACCAAGAGTAGATAAACAAGAGTGTGCAACTCGCGGATGGGTTGGCCCACGGCGGAATTTTTTGTTGACGTAATCTTTTCGACGACGCACGCGCTGCGAGCCTTTTGGAGAGTTTTCCCTCGTGCACTTGGCTGGGCTTTACACTACAAGGTCGGTGCCCAGCACGTGCTCTCACACTGCTCTGCGGCAAAGCCGCGTTTCTCTGAAAAAAGGTGACGTAAACAAAAAATTCCGCCGTGGGCGCGGGGTATCTGCAGATTGTGCAGGAGAGATCCGGAGTTGCACACTCTTGTTTATCAACTCTTGATTGTACGAATACGTATCATTCACAGCCGTGCAGGCGTGCACCTTGACCATTACAAACATGTACAATGACTATGTCATGTAGTCTTTGAATGCTTCCAAGAGAACACGAGACCCAACGTCTACTGCTCGAATTCTTCCACTGACACATACAAGCACTACCCGGTAGTCGTAGACAGCAAATAAAAACAGGCACCTGTACACCTACCGGACACATACACATACGTGCATACAGTGTGGCTCTAAAAATAGCCCCTACAATGGCACTTGCCTTGGCAGAGAATGCCTGCCCAGAAACACAAGCAGAATCTGGTGTTTTTCCTGGTATAGTTCATGCATTCATGCAAGGTCACTACAATTATGGATGCAGATGAGGAGCAGAATACGAGGAATTGCTTGGAATAGCTTTGAATGGCTCCGCCAATTTTAATGCGTTTCGACTCTCTTTCGAGCAGTATCCGCCAATGCCTTCTCTCAGACGACCGCAGTAAGTTGTGCAGGGGGGGGGGGGGGGGTGAACTTGTGGACTATCATGAAGTAATCTACTATCAATAGTCCAAAAACAACAAATAACTCCAAAGCACGAAAAAGGCACAAAAACTTAACCAAGAACATGTGCAATAACATGCTATTTAGAAAGACAGGACAAGTGAATAATTAGTCAGTCCATTGTTCATGATGGTCTCCGACGGTTACGTCGGCAAGCGAGCCTCCGCCACTGCCAAAGCAGCGTGGGCTCCGCAGGAGGGTGCAAATTTCAAACTAAAATTTATTCGCCTACAACCGCGAATGCACATGATACAGGATTTCAAAAGGCTGAAGGAAATCCTGCATCTAACAAATGCCATAGCATGAGAATAGTGCTCACCCCTCTTCTCAGCCAACAGATGAGCAATTCGTTTATACAGTGCTGTTGTCGCTGGACCCATTCCGCCACTGGCTATATGGCCTGGTCATACTATCATCAAGTACATGTACATGTTCACCCCATCTCACTAGAAATTTAGGGGACAGGTTCGAAATCGAAATCAGCTTAGATCCTACATGTACATGAACAGACATGGTATTATTATAACCCAATGCTAGTACAATACCAGTATTCATGCTGTCAAACTAACAACAGTTACATGAACAGGCATGTACTGAAATGAAGCCCAAACTCAGCATCAGGTAAGTATGCTGCTACCCTATCCATCAGTGTCTTCGTCGACATTATGCATCAATTTGGGGCGGTTTTCTGACATCTGACCGTCTGGTTTTAGGAGTATGCCAGGCCCGGCGCAAGGCAACCACTTCAGGTGATGGATAACACTGCCTAACAATAGCTTTGGCTGTATGATGTCAGTGGGAAATCGAATCACTGTAGCCTAGTGTAGGCGCACATAATCCATTCGTTGGTGGTGTCCAAGGTGTCTGGCTGTACTAAAGTACAAGTGGTGATTGACAGGGTTTATGGGGCGTGCCATCACAGACGGAGTGCGAATGCATGCCAGTAACTCAGTTCCGCGTGCTAATCTTGACCAGGCTATAGTGGCATGCCAAAAACTGCACTGCTCAGATTACTGACACCCTCTCCGTGTCAGAGCATAGGGCCAGGGGGTGGATTCGAACTAAGCTGGCATCGCACGGTTATAACCGTTGTTCATAATATCCACCCTGGCCCCGCGATGTTATACTATTAATTTGTGTGTGTGATTCAGTGCCACCGGCTACCACCGCAACATCGTGCGCCCAAGAACGGGATGCTCTAGAGAATGTTGGCCAGAAAGTCACCAACATTATAGAACATGCCAAGTTGAGAGCAAAGAACCCAGTGTCTTCTTTTCATGAAGATTGTATCGCATGAAAACTGAGTATTCCCGTGCTACCATTCCAAGAGTACATGTAAATAAAAAAATAGAAAAAAATAGAAAAAAATCTCTCTGGGTACTCTTGGCACTACTAAGAACGAAGACGCTGGAATCTCGAAATAATACAAGTAACTTTCCTGGCCTGGAGCGAAGACCCTCCAAGAATATCCTCAGGTTTACAAGCGCCTGCACGTGCGTGCTCTGGACTGCCGGGATGGTATCAGTGATCCGGTGTCTAGGCTGTGCTGAAGGTGATATTCAGGTTCTGGGCAATCTTCCAGGGGATCTCCAGTCATGGCTGTTTTAAAAATGCGACAGGGTCCGGCTGAATCCAATTATGTACATGTATAATATACAATGTGAAGAAGGGGTTGGTGCGACATACATACAAGTATTATTACTTGAAGTATATTCGTTGAGGTTCCGATTCGGAACTTCCGAATGCAATGAGATCGATGGGATGAGAGGGAGGAGATGAGAGCAAGGAGATCGCAGGAAACCTCTCTTCTTTTTTAGTTGAAGAGGAGCACTGCCCGGCTACAGCACTCTCTGGGTCAGAAGGAGTAAAAACTAAAAAGATCTTCTAACACCTCTTGCGTCCACGGTCGGAACTGCCCGTGGATTGCTGGTTAAATCCCCCGATTTAGGCCAAGACCTGTGGAGAATCCATAACTAAAATACAATACAGTTCAATTATGAATACATCTGAGCTATGGGACCAGGCCGAACCTACATGTAGACGGCGCTGACAAGTTTTTCACTCCAAAGTCCTGGCGAGTCTGGCATTTTTTTTCCTTTCACTGTTTTCAGGCAGTTCATTTCCCTCAATGATCCTTTGAAATGTGAAGTTCTCCCAATCCTTTAAACATCAATACAATACAATACAAAACTCAATCCGCGTGCCAAGGTTGGCTATCGGGCAGGCGTCCACAATCCAGCAAGCATCAAGGCATTACCTAACAGCTAATGGCATCACAACTTATCTGAGATAACTATTTTCCGTATCAGTTCGTATCTCCAAGCCTGCCCTACTTCTACATGAAAACGTGTGAACACTCGGCAGTCTGAGGCGCTGGTTGCATGGTACAAGACAAGCACTTCAAAGGCAGAAGAGAACAGATTGCCTTTGCTGTGCTATGCGCATGAAACGCAGCGATACAACAATAATGACCCTAGCCGGTTGTCTCCGTTCTCTTCTGCCTTTTGTGGTAATGCTCCATCCTTGTGGTGTTGAGCACTCTAGGCAATCTGGGAACTCTCGCTTTACACAAAACAAGCACTTTATAGTTCTCTGATGATTGCCTAACGGCATGAAACTCAGAGTTACAACCAGCCTGAACGTCCTCCGCTGGGTCTGCTATGTACTAAGCTCTGTCTCTGACATTGAGCACTCTCTGCAGCGCGGCGATCAACGGATTTGTCAAAACAAGCACTTCCATAACTATGGAGTCTATGGTATTCCCGCTTCTGAGCGTTTTAGTCCTACTAGGACTCTATGGTCTACACTACATTGGCTAAATTGATCAAAAGAGACATGGGCTTACCTTTACTGAAGCAGCAACTTTTACTGTTGGTTCCGACCGTAACGGCAAATTCAGGCACACAGCACCTTCATCTTCATGTAAACTCTACTCGTTCAAACAATGCTCTATCGTCACGCAGAGTTCCCCCGTCCTCAGCTGATCGCCATTGACATCTAATCTTCAGCTGAGCACCTCCCGACCGAGGACCGTTCTCTCCTTCCGTTCACGCTCTCCTCCCTCCACGCAAGCTACACACCTTGACTGAACAACGTTAGCTCAAGTTCTACAGGAACCGCCCTCCCGTGACTGTTCACTGTGCTTTCAGCGGTTTTACTTTCAACACTGACGCATCCTAGCATTGTACGTCACATGATGGCGTTTCCACCGCACATTGACCAGGCGCACCGTCATTTATGCCATTATGGCCTTGTCAGCTGGTGTGAATGTCGTCTGTTTACGTATGTGGCTATTGCTGACCTTTTCCAGCTAGTAGTGCGGGTCCATTGTGTACGTGCATGCGATGTACATGTATTTCAA